TCACTGTCCCCTTTTGAGAATCAACATAAGGACTCTCGAGGGAAAAACATGGACACACACTTTTGCATTCTACTCAAGTTATTTGTGAACCTTTCTTAGGGGCCGGCTGTGCATATTGACAGGTGGCCCTTTGTTTAAAAAACCACTAGTGCTGGGTCTCTGCTTTTCCTGGGGACATTTGAAGATTCTGGACAGCTTTAGCTATTGTTTCTTCTTTGTTTTGAGTGGAAATCTATGCCTTCCTATAATTTATGTTTTGGAAATCTTAGTTTTGTTCCCAGGGTCATACTGAGCAAGCCTGTGCCCTTTTCATGTACCTAGTCCTTTAGTATTTCAGGTCCAAATTAAGAACTTTTCTTTCTTTTTTAAAAAAAATATATTTTATTAATTTTTTTACAGAGAGGCAGGGAGAGGTATAGAGAGTTAGAAACATCGATGAGAGAGAAACATCGATCAGCTGCCTATTGCACACTCCTTACTGTTTATGTGCCCGCAACCAAGGTACATGCCCTTGACCGAAATCAAACCTGGAACCCTTGAGTCCACAGGCCAAGACTCTATCCACTAAGTCAAACCGGTTAGGGCAAGAACTTTTCTTTAAGAAAACAAACAAAAACCATTTTTTATTGAGATATGATTCACTTACCAAACAGTTCACCCATTAAAAGTGTACAATTCAGTCTTGGCCCATGTTTCTCAGTGGTTAGAGTGCCACCCCCGCACTAAGGGTGGCACGTTCGATTTCAGTAAGGGTATGTACCTGGTTGCAGGTTCGATCCCCCGACCTGGTCCTGGTGTGTGTGGATATATCCATCACATCGATATCTGTCTCTCCTTCTCTCTCCCTCTTCCCTTCCACTCCCTCCCTCCTTCCTTTCTTCCCTCCCTTTCACTCTCTCTAAAAATCAACGGAAAAATATCCTCGGGTAAAGATTAACAACAACAAAAAAGTACAATTCAGTGATTTTTAGTATATTACATTATTTTAAAAATTTTTGATAAAATATACATAACAAAATTTGCCATTTTAATTATTTTAGTGTATAAGTCAGTGGCATTAATTACATTCACTATGTTGTGCAACCATCACCACTATATATTTCCAAAGATTTTTCATTACCCAAAGCAAAAACTGTAACTATTAAGCAACACCCCCCTCCCCCCAGCATCCCATCCTTTCTGACCTACCTTTAGTCTCCATGAATTTGTTCTATGTATTTCATGTAAGTGGAATGATACAATTATTGTCCTTTTATGCCTGGTTTATTTTACTTAACATAATATATTCAAGGTCTTTTTATACAAACCAAATCTCATAGTGTAGGATTTCAAATTACACTGTATTTGACAGTTTCTTTTTTACCATGACCAGAATTAATTATAATAAAGAAGTAGTTTCCAGAGGTGTTTATTGAATTAACTAGAGGCCTGGTGCATGAATTCGTGCATAGGTGTGGTCCCTCTGGATGGCCTGTAGGGATTGGACCAAAACCTGCAGTCCAACACTGCCTGCCGCTCCTGCTCATCCTGGCCCCACTGTGCCTGCCTCGGGCTTGCACCCAATCAGTCCCCATCGAAGAGGCTCGCGCCAGCCATGAGCCCTGCATCTGGCACCCTCCCAAGGGGAGTGGCCTGCGGGATCGGGCTGAAACCGGCTCTCCAACATCCCCTGAGGATGTCCCGGATTGTGAGAGGGCACAGGCCAGGCTGAGGGACCCCACTGGTGCACAATTGGGCCAGGGAGGGACCAC